CAAATCCCTAATTAGTCAAATCTGGCCAAATTGGGGAGGAATAATTCCCTTCCATCTACAGAATTATTCCTCTGAAACCCTAGCCTCTGAGGCTCCTATAAATTACCTAGCTACACACAAGGGTTAAGGTACGTCTAAATTCCTACTGAAACTCTGCAGAAATTATCCTTCACAAACCCTAGCCACCATCTTCTTTCTCTCTCTCACACACAAGGCTCCGGCCTCCACACACGGCTCCGGCCACCCGGTTTTCCTTGAAACACCCATCCTAACTTAGGCATCGGAGGGCCTTTGGCCAACACCCCCCGGGTGTGGTCCTTTTACTCCGATCTGTTTTGCAGGGAGAGAGAGGTGCGGAGAAGACGAAGGAATCTTTAGGCGAATATTCTAGTGGGAGGAAATTTGCTCCCACAGGTGTCTTCGTTGCAGCGGATCATGATACCACCCATTGGATGATCATATCCAAATTCTTCTTCAGCTTGACTTAACAAATCTTGGAAAGAAGGGTGGTTCAAGTACGACACTGGAATGACAAACCTCTTCTTCTGGCTCTCCCCAACATAGACTGCAAAATAGCCTTTAGGGACATATAAGGCCTTTGAATGTACTTGGTTTGCAGTTGGTACAGACTGAAGAAGATTTTTCTTAACATGTAGAATACCAGGCAACCGGAAACCCATGGTTTTGAAATTTCTCAATGACAAGAGAACGAAAATTGAAGATTTCAAATAAATTGCAGAACAGAGAAATCTTTGAATTTATGTGATCAATGAAAGACTTGTTTTTCTTTGTTCCTCAATCTGATCGTATGTGTATATATAGACGAAGTAGTATACTGAAAACAATCTGTTACCTAAAATGATTGGGGATGAGACACTGAGATGGACCCAATTAGTGAGGGACATTAGCTCATGGAGTATCGCATGGACTTGTCTTCCAATAAATCAAGGGAAACTCACAAGCCAATGCCCAAAATGAAGAAACATCATGTCCTACCTCTCTTAATAGCTGCAGCGACCAACCGAAGTAATTAAAAGACTAATACAAATATATGTATATCCTATTTAAAGTGTGAGCCTTTCGCAGATCAAAGACATGCTTGACACCAAGTGGACCCAGTACTAACTTGTGGACCAACTCTCTCATAGAAATTAATTTTCCTAACAACAGGCTACTTTGCAACACACATCATACGTAAAGTGAACATGAGAGATAGTGCCAATTTCTGAATTGACTGAAGAAAATGGTACGTATACCTACTTTATAAACCAGGGACTGGTGCTGGAATTTGATCTTTCATAGAACAAAACCACATGGTGGGTGTTTATCTGCTCTGAATTCAGCTATCATAACCTTTTAAGTTCATGGCTCCAAATCACTGCAGGAATAGATTGTGACTATCACATAAGCTGGCAGCTTGCATTTTGTGATTTTTGCACCGGGTACGTAACCCAGTATTTCAGATTTTAATTATGTGGGACATGATGTTCCTCCGTTATAGAAATTAACTCATGAGTCTCTCTTGATTACTTAGAAGACATGTCCATGTGATACTCCATGAGCTAATGTCTCTCATTTGGGGTCCATCTGTTGGAAAAATGGCTCACATTAAGTATGCAAGTGAAGGAGGAAGCGACCGGTCGCTGGGTATTTGCGATCGGTCGTTTGAAGCAGATTCGAAGTCTGGAGGAGAAGCTGGAAGTCGCGAAAAGCGACCAGTCGCAAGGTGCAAGCGACCGGTCGCCTGCAAA